TGCACTATTGAGTCATTAAATTAATCCTGTAGGAATAAACCCCTTGTAAGTAAATCCATATTATGAATTAGAAAAAAAAAAACAGCTGGAAATTCAAGTTTTTGGTGCCTGTATACTAGATATGAAACTATTTGATTTCTAGTCTTCTGTCTTTAACAGTTGTAATATATTAATGATTTTGCTTTATACTTAGTTAATGGAACATAAACATATCTTTGGTACTTTTTTTGTGAGTGAGAGAATGCTAGCTAGGGTGGCTTTGTTCTTTGTTTAAATTATTTTTCTGAATGTAGTTAATTTATGGCATCTGTTGAATAAAACTGCTAAAATGACCTCATAAAAATGTTATGTTGTATCCCCTTTTCCAGGTGAGTCAACAGAAATGCCTGATTGAATTAGGTTAAACAAAACATACTGTCATAGGAAATCTGGACAGCTTAACCAACTTGCTCTTAGATATGTTACCTTAAAAAAAAAAAAAAAAAAAAAAAGCAGTGCTAAAGCGAAAATACAATTTTAAATATTTTGTTGAGCCTGTAGAATGTTTTTTTTTTTTAAATAAGTTCATAGCATTTTAACTTTGAAAGTTCATATGCATCAGAAAATTTATAAAAACTCGAGTAAAAAATTTCATCTATTTATTTTTCTAATTTTAATGGCAGATTTTCACTGTTACAGTTGATAATTCTGTGAACTTACCTTCTTGTTGACTAATTCTTTTTCCCTTAATCTGAACTTTAAAGGGATAGGTGAAGTTATTATACCAAGTTAAGTAATACCATAAAGTGTATATTATAAAGTCATATATGGCTTTGGACAGTATTACATTTCAGTTGCATTGCTACATTCCATTAAATTTCATAAACTGTTAGGGAAAATGTGTTTGATAAAATTTTCTGCAGTGAGAAATGACAGACTGAGTGCCTGACAATTTAAGCAACATATGAAGTATGCAAATAAAGATTCAGTCCTTAATGTCACCTGTATCATGGTGTAAAAGCTCAACAAGTGTCTTAGAATTTGGAGTTAACTGTATAAAGTAAGAAGAGTTTAGATATCTTGAGTTAAAAGATTTTCATGTTTGCTGCTTTTTTTAAATAAAAGTCCCAACATTTTGCCATCTTATTTTTAACTACATGAACTTTGTAATTTCATTGGCTCATTCTAATGACCACCTAAGTCCCCAATCTTTGAATATTGCTTTATTAGCTCCTTTGACTGGTGTTCTAACAATTTAGCAGCAGTTAGATTTGTTAATGCTTTACATTTTTACCCCTTTTTACATAAACACACACAAATACACACATGCATATACACACAAACAATATTGTCCTTCTGAGAGTTTGACCTTTCTCCTCTTCTTTTGATTCCTTAGTTCCTAAACAGACTGGTGCTAGTCATTTAGTCATTTGTAAATTTCAGAATGTAGTATGATTAAGTAAGTGAACTGAATTCTTAACAATGAAAAATGTCAAGTTGGATTCATCTAATAAAGTAAAAATAATATATTTTGTAAACATTACAGTTGAATGCCTAAATAAGTTATTTGTTTCATAATTATTACATGCTTGTTTATGATTTACAAAGGTTTGGTAGAGAAATGTACAGCCCTTAAGGCATATGTTGCCAGTGCATTAAACTACTCAACTTTTGTGTCAGCTCAGGTGTTCATAGGAACAGAAATGTGGAATACCAGCTTTTTACCTTAATTATACTTTTATGTTTAATTTTTCTTCCAGTTAAATCTTTAATTATACTAAAGTAGTTACCGAGAAAAATGATTAAGTTTTTGATTTCCCTTCTGTTGATCCGTAGTATTTTTAAATGAAGCTATTTATCACATGTGACATGCTAATGTTAATGGATTCCTATGTATTTCATTAAAAAAATAAATCTCCCACCTGTGTTAAGACAGTTAAATATTTGTTGATGTTGGCTTGAGGACCAAGTGAGCCAACTTGCCAGTTAAGCAAATTTTATGTCAAAGGACCAAATGGTTAAAAGAGGAGAATTTGTACGTTTGTTGAGCTTCCCCATGTGAAGCTTGGGTTCAGTACTATCTTATTACTACTATCCATCTTCATATTGAGTGAAACAAACTGAAAGGAAATTTGTAATCTTTTTATCATCTGAACAGAAAAATTAATGAAAATCAACAATAAATCTGAATTTTAATTTTCATTAAACAGCTGAAAAACCTTGTGTGTTGACCACATTGGACGACCACCTAGTTAAAATCCATAAAATTCTCTATAAACCAGTGAAGAGAAAGTAGTCTGGCAATAATTTCCAACTTTTTAAATTGTAATTTTTAGTTACAAAGAAAAAGGATAGAATGAGGCTTTTCAAGGAATTCTTGCTCATCCCTTCAGTAATTTGGCAGGCAACACAGTCCTAGAATTCAGCTTCCTTTTTGGTTTTATTACTACTAAATGGATACTTTCATATAAATGGAAACATTTTTCCTCAAAACAATTCAAAACGTACTCCTTATATTAAGGATTATGGCACCACATTTTTTGTAAATTCCCTATGTGTAACTTTTTCCTGTTGGTATGTATTTTTTTCATTTAATATGACTCTGCTGGTGTTGGGGCCAATAGATTTGTGAATATTCTGTGGATGTGTCCATGTATAGGTGTATGTATATATTTTTTCCAGCTAATACCTCAAACGTGTGATTGTTTAATATATACCACACTATGTTTGCACAGAGCAGGGCTTCCATTAGCAGTGGATATTTTTATTTCTAACTTTGAAAATCAGTCCACACAATTTCATTGGTGTGAACTCTTTCTGTTGCTCTTTTTCATATTTTAATGCAGAGATTCCTATTATAAGGCCTGTGCTTCAAACATAATTGTATCTTTCTATATCCCGCCATCTGGACACACATAGGGGTAAGAAGTATTTCTTGAAATGTCCTTGTTTAGTAAGTTAGTAAAATTTGGGATGACCAGTTGCCAAGATGTCTCATAACTGCATAGCAGATGACACCTGGCATAGATGTGAGCAAGCCTCATTCACTTCAGCACAAGATTCTGTATATTTCAATCTGATAGTCTACTTTGCCATTTAAGTACACTATTAAAATCATAGAGATTTTCAATGACATTGGAGTATTGTAATTATTAGTTTCAAAAAGAATTATTTTGAATAGGACAGTTCAACCATGAGAAGAAACAAACATAAATGATATTTTGCAGTTTATCTGTATTAAGAAATGCTTCTTGCCAATTTCTGCTTTTGGTTTTTGGATTGCTACATAAGACTTTCTTTCCGTTTACTTTATGCGTTTTTAAAAGCTGCAGGTAATTTTTAAGGTTTGATGGAATTTTAATGGAAGCCTTGTTTTAAGTTAAATGAAACTGGTAAAGGAGAGCTTACTTTGTCTATAATGCATTCAGGATCATAAATTAGATTTAAAAATGAAATGTCTGATTTGTAAAATATTTAATGTTATATCAGACTTACATAAAATTTTCTGTGAGAACTCAAAGTAAATGCATTTGATTTTTAATGAATGTTCTGCTGAATGAAATATGAATTTTTGTCTTTCAGTCTCTGTAGTTTATCTCAATATATTAATAAAAAGAAGGTCTGTTCTCACTGTAAAATGTTTGGTTTTTTATCATGTTTTATACTCTTAATATGGCCACTCTTTCATTCATTTAGCTATTTAACAAGTGTGTCAATGCTTGCTATATCCCAGGCATTGAGCTGAGTGCTGGGAATTAATCATTGAATAAGACAAAAACCTGGAAGAGTTTACATCTAGCAAAGAACATATATATTAAATAAATAATTGTAATTACAATAAATGCTACAAAGAAAATTACATGGTACAATGAGAACATTTATCTCGAAGACCTAAACTATTCAGTGAGGGTCAGGGAAGGCTTCTCTGAAAGTGAGTTTAAGCTGACACTCAAAAGTGAGATTGGTTGGAGTAAGGTATGCTAGAGAAATAGGCAGAATGTGCTAAGTTGGTAAAGTGATAAAAATCTTTATGGAAGTGAAAACAAACTTGTGTGATCATAGCATAAGGAATCCACGGTAGATGAGAGAATTAAGTTAGGGGCCAGATCACCATAGAATGATTAATAGAAACCATGATGCTGACACTGATCTTTATTCTAAGTCAATAAACTTGATTTTCAAGGAAGGAGTTACGTGATCTGATTTGGGTTTTTAGAACATCATTTTAGTTGCTATATGGAGACTGGAGGGCAAAAGAAAATGTAAGAAGGATAGGTTATTGTCAAAAGAGAGATGATCATGGCTTGGACTAAGGTAGAAATATAGTTAGGTGAATAGTTTTCAAAGATAGGAGGTAGAATCAACACAAGTCTGTTTGGATTTGGGACATAGGGAGGCAGCAATTAAAAACCAGGCTAAAATTTTCTGAAAATTTGGCTATGAAAGGGAGTAGTAGAAAAACGGTGGTAGCTGAAAGATCATGAGATTTCTAAAGAAGCTTTTCTTTTGAGGGTCTCGCTTTGTCACTCAGGCTGGAGTTCAGTGGGGCGATCACCACACAGTGCAGCTTCAAACCCTGGACTCAAGTGATCTGTTTGCCTCGGCCTCCCGAGTACCTCCTGGCCGCACACCACGTTCCGCTAATTCTTTTTTTTTAGCCGGGATCCTCCCTTCCAGGCTGGTTTAGAACTCCTGGGCTCAAAGGATCGTCCTGCCTTAGACTCCCAAAGAGTTACATGAGATCTTACTAATTTTTAAAAATTCTGATGTAAAAGGGGCTTGCTGTTCAGCTCATCACACCATCCCCTCAAATTTCATCTACAAGAAAAGGTTTTAAGATAACGGACCCTGAAAAAGTAGTGACATTTATACACCCTCTCCGCAAGAATGCCTTGTAACACATAGCCTGGCTTGCATTTTCCGGGGGTCCTTAGAGTCCAGCGATCTCGTACAAATTCCCTACCCCACAGCTGACGTCCTTCGGCCCGTGACACAAGGCGCAGGCTCAAGACGCGGTCCGCGGTGGGCGGGGGAGGGGCGAGGCCCGTCGGGCAGCCGCCCGCTCGCAGCTTCCGCCCGGCCCCTCCGGAAATCCCGTCCTGCGGGGCGACTGCGGCGCAGCTAGTGCTTCCTGGGGCACCGAAGAGGTCACGAATCATGTGACAGTGGCTTGAGGAGGAACCGGTCTTTAAAGCTGTCCCTGAAGTGACAGCGGACAGAACCAGGCAGCGTAGAAATCCCAGGTAACTGGCGCTACTTTGCCGGGTTTTGAAGTCTAGTCCCGGGGGTGGCGCGGGTGGTGATTCTAAACAGAAGCGGGAGGAACCGTCTCTTCTTTTCTTTGGGCCTAGCTCTTTCGGGTGAAGGAGCAGGGATGGGTGGGGTGAGGCAAGGCGTGCCAGCTGAGTACCCGTGGCGGAACTGGGACACTCCGACTCCCACTGAGCTTGGTGGGCGGAGCCGGAGTTTTGCCTGGTTCTGTCCAGGGCTGATCTCTCTCATTAAGTTGGGGGTAGGGAGGACGTGGAAGCCAAGAGGGAAGAGTCACCGGGAGTTTCTCTTCCAGGCGTGGAGATTGATCCTGCGAGAGAAGGGGCTTCATCATGGCGGATGTGAGTGACACCCCCACATAAGAGGAAGGGGAGGGTGGGGAATTTGGAGGGGAATACTGAGCGGGGAGAGGTAGAGCTTCCCAAGTAGAAATTTGTTTTGGTCCTCCGATCCCCACCCACCCCAGTTTTTCTCTGGTAACTGGAATGGGAGACTAATGTGAATGAATTTGCAGGATCCTGAGTTTCTGCCTCGAATGGGAGTGGAGGACATTACGGTGCTTGAGACTTCGAAAATTATATTCTCCCTACTCCCCAATCCAGTTGGGGCATAAGAGAGGCTCTGTATATTTACCGTTTGAAATTCTGAATGGTGGTTTGCTGCCTGTCTCGTCAGTATGTGGTCAGTAGGACATGTACCCAGAATCCTTTTTTTCCAGGAAGTGGTAACAATATCTCATTAGGTTTATTGTAGCAATTTAGGATGTGATTTCTAACCCATGCCTCTTTAGAAACATCGTGAGTTCTCTCTCTCTCTCTCTCTCTCTCTCTCTCTCTCTCTCTCTCTCTGTGTGTGTGTGTGTGTGTGTGTGTGTGTGTGTGTGTGTGTGTAGGATGAAAGCTAAAGTAAGCTGATAGTCATAACATGAAATAAAATGATCATTCGGGTTTGGAGAATATTAAGTGTTGGAGGCCCAGAACAACGGATATCTGATTAATCCACGTGAGGTCAAAATTGATACCTAAATTGCCAATGAAATTCCTGGGATGAGAGTGTAACAAGCCAATATAAAATAGCCCTTGGCCAGTGCTGTGGCTTAGTCTGTAATCTCAGCACTTTGGGAGGCCAAGGTAGAAGGATTGCTTGAGGCTGCGAGTTCAAGACCAGCCTGGGCAACACAGCAAGACTCCACTCTACAAAAAGAAATTTTAAAATTAGCCAGGTGCATTGATGCCCCTGTAGTCCCAGCTATGCCGGAAGTGAAATGGGAGGATTGCTTGAGCCCAGAAGTTGGAAGTTGCAGTGAGCCCAGCTTAGAAAAATAAAATAGTTTTCTATTTCTTTAGTCTTATCTGTGTTTCGTGTTAAACACTTGACACACATAGCCATTCATCTTATATTCTGTAAGACTGGGTCAGGCGCGATGGCTTACGCCTGTAATCCCAGCACTTTGGGGGCCGACGCAGGCAGATAACCTGAGGTCAGGAGTTCGAGACCAGCCTGGCCAACATGGTAAAACCCCGTCTCTACTCAAAATACAAAAAATAAGCTGGGTGTGGTGGTGGGCACCTGTAATCTCGGTTACTTGGGAGGCTGAGGCAGGAGAATCGCTTGAACTCAGGAGGTGGAGGTTGCAGTGAGCCAAGACTGCGCCATTGCACTCCAGGCTGGGCAACAAGAACAAAAACTCTGTCCTCTTCCGCCCCCCCAAAAAGATTGTTGCCTCACATAGTCCTATAGAATTTATTCTAGAGCCTTAAACAAAATATTTTTAAAATCCCATTATAATAATGTGCCTTACACTGTTTCATTATTTGTTGAATAGGTGAGTTGAACAAATAATGAAACAATGGAAGGCTTTTTTTCATATATTTCATCATATTGGCCAGGCTGGTCAAATTTGGATAGGACAGGATCTAGAAAACAGTGGAAGGCGTATTATTACAATGTGCTTTTTAATATTCTCTTTCAGGTTTTTTTTTTCTTTTTTGAGAGGGAGTCTCACTCCCCCAGGCTGGAGTTCAGTTGTACATTCTCGCCTCACTGCAACCTCTGCCTCCTGGGTTTAAGCCATTCTCCTTCTTCAACCTCCCGAGTAGCTGGGATTACAAGCATGTGCCACCATACCCGGCTAATTTTTCTATTTTTAGTAGAGACCAGGTTTCATCATATTGGCCAGGCTGGTATCGAACTCCTGACGTCAGGTGATCCACTCACCTCAGCTTCCCAAAGTGCTGGGATTACAGATGTGAGTCACCAAGCCCGGCTGGAAGGCCTATTTTTATAATATAATAGTCATGTGAGGCAACAATCTTAAAGAACTCATATCGGCTTACCCAAGACCATTAAAATGATGATGGAAAGTCTGGTTTGAACATGAAAAGATGTTTATAATGTCTTCTCAAGTGAATACAATAGCAGCAGGATGTAAAATACTAGTATGAAATCATGATACAACTTTGTGGCTAAAATGTATTTGTGTTTCCCATTTCTAGGTATGCTGATATATGCATCTTCTCAATGAACTTTTAACAACACTGTTATGATGTAGATTCTATATTAGTCCTATTCAACAAATAATGAAATAGGCTTAGAGAAAAAAGGTTAGTTAACTTACTCCAAGTTGCATGATTAGTAAACATCAAAATCAGACAGAGAAAGATAAAATACAAGCAAAAAATGTTATGAATGATAACTTACGGTACCTGAAATCTGGATAGGACAGGATCTAGAAAACAGTGGAAGGCATATTATTACAACTTTGATTTTTTAATATTCTGTTACAGGACCTAAAGCGATTCTTGTATAAAAAGTTACCAAGGTAAGAAATTTTTAATTTGCTACTGAATAAATTCTGTATGCCATATGTTATTTTGTGAAGTATTCTGTCTTTGTATATATTTTCAATGTTGTGAAGTGTCTCTGAGATTTCCTTTAATGTGAATATTTTTTGCCAGCATCATGTCTTCTGGAAGATTTTCATCACAATCACTTTGCTCATTTATGTCAGTAAGTTCGCCTTCACTGAGTTCTCTGGTGCTGTTCTCTAGAGTCTAATAGCGATTGTGTCAGCATCCCCTTGGTCATCTATTTCTTCTGTAACTGTTTACTTTCGATACTTTCTATTTGAAATACACTTCCAGGATTATTACTTTTCACTTCTTTGCTGTATTTTGTCTTTGTTGACCAGTTCCCTCTTTTGATTATCTCTTTTTTTAAATGTTGCATAGTTTATCTTTGGGAGACAAGGAGATACAAAACTACATGCTTTGCTATCTCTGCCTGAACTGCATAATAGATGCACAGTGACCAGCCATCAACACACTTTGAAAGAAGTGATGTGGCTGGTTACTAATCACACTGTGCGTCTGTTAATTACATAATTTTCTATGCAGTGATTTGTGGACTAAAGAGTTAGAAAAAGTTTATACTTTATGCAGTTATTCAGGTATTATGCCATGCTAACTAAAATTTGACCTATGCTCTTCTGCAGGGAGTGATGTTATTTAACTCAACCATAGTAACTAAAACGTGCGTATTAGAACTGTGCAAAATGAGCGCATTCTGTATTTTTCTGTAGTTACCTTACCATAATGAAAAGGTGCTCAAATTGGAATGGAGAGATGCCTCACTACACTGGTGGTATGATGAAATAGTTTATAGTGCATAGTTAATTCACTTAGAAGTCTTAGTGGTTTACAGTCTTCTTTTGAGTGTTAGCATCTCTTACTGAAGAAACAGCAAAATTGCATTGAATGTTCTTAAGTTGTAAAGCCACCAGAAAGATACTCATTATTCACCTGGAGATCTAATAAATAAAGCAGTAATTGACTCTAATTACATGGTCTGTGATTACAAGTAACAAAAATATTTCAGACAGTGGGGATCTCATTTTAATTATTAGGTGTACTCTGAAAATCATAATAATGTGGGACACTGGGTATGGTGAAGGTGTCTATATAAAGGAATTAGAGAATAATACAAGAAGTACTTATATTACTGAGTAGTTCTAATGTTGATCAAAAATAGTTGGAAAGTAAATGCTTGTTTTTCTCTGAATTCTGATGTCTTTTCTCTTTTAACAAAAGGGGAAAATATCAGGTTGTGGTGCTTATCCAAGAGATAAATTCAGTTAAAGGATATTTGTTAAAAGCTTTATGAAAATCTTTCATAATGGCAGGAAAGGTATTAATACTATCTCTGTCTTTTTTTTTTTATAATGAAGAAAGGCAAGTTCGACTCATAATAATCATTTCTTGAAAGTACGCTTACTACGTCCAAGAACAATAATAATGAAGAAATAATAATGTTTTGAACATTCGTAAAGAATAGTAGAATATACTCTTTGATTTGTTGCTAGATGTATGGCTTTGGATGGAGGCATCCTGGCTTCAGAGTCATGGATCCTTGTAACTGTTGTACCGCAGTGCCTCTCAGTAACCAAGTCAGCCAGCTACGGATACTAATGGAATGTGTGTTTTTGTGCATTTTTTGAATTCTCTGAAAAATTTCCTTCTTGGATTTGCATTTTAAAATCTGGTTGTGACCCAGAGCAGTCTCAGGCTTTAATAATCCCACTTTGTATGTTTTAAAATAACCAAATATTTCGTAATAGTGTATAAAACTAAATACGCTATCTTTGATTAGTAATACAACATTTGTTGTTAGAAAAAAATGGTGGTTTTAGTAAGCTTAAGGTTTAGATTCTTCAGAATATTCCATAAAATTTAATTCATTTCTTCTAAAAGTATAGTATCTCTTCATGAGCCACAGTTATTTTTAATTATTAGTAAAATCTATTCATATTACTCTTTGTGCACTGTATGTAGAATTGAAAATAGCTTTTATATTCGTGACCTGATTTCTTGAAGTATATACTTAAGAGTGTAAGTAATTTTTCTACTTTCTTGAATTCTTTTCTCTGTGAAATCCATCAAAAATAAAGTCCTTTTATTTCTACCTTCTCTTTTGGTACATTAGTTATATTTAAAGTAATTTCCATGGAAATTAAAAAAAAGAAGCTACCTGTGGTGGCACTAATTTTTCTAAACATTTTTGTGGTTCTCTTTTACCTGTTTTTAAATTCGTTTACTTTGAAGGTAGGTAGTACATTCATAAAGTTCAGGTTCAAGAATACTGAGGAACACAGATGAGAAGCTGCCCATCCCTCATTTCCAGCCACATGCAGTTCCTCCCACAGAGGTACCCACCGTTACCTGCAGAGAGATTTTAGGTACCTATGAGCAGACATGTATATACACATATTTATATACACAACATACACATGTGCCTGCATATTTTGGAACATAATTTATTGCTTCTTTTATGTACTGTTCTAAACTGTATTTTTTGACTTAAGAACGTAACTTTGAGATTAACCTCTCCCGGAACTTAGAGACTTCCTCTTATGGCTGCAGAGTATTCCTTTGTATGTATATATCATAACTTATCTTGTCCTTCTTAATGGACGGTTGGGTTTCTAATACTTTACTATTTCAAATGATGTTGCTTTGGTAACTGCACAAAATAATTTGCATATGTACAAATATCTGTAGGATATGTGTTATATAGGTAGTCTGGTTTTTAACTTAGAATATTATTTGTTTTATATATTAATCTTTTTTTTTTTTTTTTTTTTTTTTTTTTTTGAGACAGGATCTCGCTCTGTCACCCAGGCTGGAGTGCAGTGGCACAATCTTGGTTCACTGCAATCTCCACTTCCCAGGTTCAAGCAATTCTCCTGCCTTAGCCTCCCGAGTAGCTGGGATTACAGACAAGCACCACATGCCTGGCTGATTTTTGTATTTTTAGTAAAGACAGGGTTTCACCATGTTGGCCAGGCTGGTGTCAAACTCTTGACCTCAGGTGATCTGCTTGCCTTGACCTCCCAAAGTGCTGGGATTACAGGCATGAGCCACAGTACCTGGCATATTTTATGTATTAATCTTATAGATATATTTTAATCCATAAATAAGTTTAGGATTGAATGAATAGGAAATCATGCCAATAGGAGAATAAAAATAGTATAAAAGTCATTTATAAAGTTATTTCACTCTGATTTTTAATGTAAGGAAGACAAATGATTTTGTTTGTAATATTTGCCACTCACATTTAATAACACTTCTCTGACTTAAAAGTTTTTGACAATAGGATTTTAAAAAATTTAATGTCAATATTTGAACATTAGGTTAATATGAATATTTCTTACTCCTTAGTTAATACATTAAAGTTAACACAAAGAATAGATAATTCCAGGTTGCTGTAGGGACATTGAACATATCTCTGAGTTGCAGATTATAGATACCATAAGGTAGTTACTGGACTATAAGTTTTGTGTTATAATGAAAGAGTTTCATGTAAATGTTGAAAGTTGAGGAGTGTCACCTTATGTTTTTTAACACTGTATTTTTGTGCTCTACTGTATGTATTTCTTAATTGTTAATTTCCCAGGGATTCTCACTGATAATTTAATACTTTAATGATAAATTATGTCATTGTCAGTGTGTACAATTGACACCATTGGTGTTAGTTAATAAGGGATATTTTTGAATAATGTGCCAGCCCACTCTTTACATGCCTTATGTTATTAAATTTCACAATATCCAGGTCAGTACAATTCCCATTTTCATATTGTTAATCTGAGACTTAGAAAAGTTTCGTAACTAGCCCAAGGTAGCACAAACAATAAGGAGCAGAGCCTAGACTGGAACCCAGGTCTTTTTAACTTTAGAGCTATAGCTTGACCATTCTACTTACTACTAACTACTTCAGCATAACTGAAAGGATTTCTGCATGGCCTTCATTCTTTTTGCCCTGTTTCTTCACCCTGGAACAGTTTTTCCACTTCTTTTCACTTAGCACCGTAACATCTCAGCTGAGATATTACTGCCTCCAGGAAAGCCTTCCCTCCTCTTTTCTAGGTTCTCATACCCCTATCAACTTTAACAACACTTGCCACCAGTTTTAGTTTTACATGGTTGGCATTTTGAGATTATTTGATTGATAACACACTCACTTTTTAGATTGGAAACCATGTGAAGGCAATGATTGTGCCTATTTCTGTTTTTCTTAGTATCAAAGTATTAAGTGCCACAAATACTGGCCACTTGATATTTACATGAATGAAAAAGGAAAAAGGCTCTTTTTTGTCACTATAACCACTGCTGATAATCTTTCATCCTTTTGTAAAACCATGGAATGATCGTTCATTAGCAGTTTTAATGGAGAGTTATCTATGTCTTAGATTCTTATTAATAAACTGCATGAATTTGTAAAGATTACAAACATTTCTATAATACATATTGATTCCATTTCTAGGAGAATTTTGGCAAACAGGAACATAGGATATCAATAAATGAGGTCCTGTGGTTGTCAGAAAATACATGAGAATTATCATTATGTCTTTGAGGTTCATAGTTTGAGAAAATGAAATATTTTATATTTTAACCTTTTTCTTTTTCTAGTGTTGAAGGGCTCCATGCTATTGTTGTGTCAGATAGAGATGGAGTACCCGTTATTAAAGGTAAAACTGAGCATTTAAATGCAAATGTCATCTTTGCTTTTGACTAAAAATGTGTGTATTTATATCTGAGTAGTGTAGAAGGCAAACATGTAACAATCATTTTAGTAAATTTAGGAAATGGTCTTAGTTTTGGGGGAAGTATTTGCTTTTATATGTTGAAAGCTGAATTTGAATCTACAGTGTGTTATATCTCACATGTATCATGTTAACATCTAGAGTTTAAGCGTGGATTCATCATAGACCTGTTTCCCATTAAAAACATTTACATTGTAGGCCAGGCGCGGTGGCTCACGCCTGCAATCCCAGCACTTTGGAAGGCTGAGGTGGGTGGATCACGAGGTCAAGAGGTCGAGATCATATGGTGAAACCCCATCTCTACTAAAAGTACAAAAAAATTAGCCAGGCGTGGTGGCGCGCGCCTGTGGTCCTAGCTCAGGAGGCTGAGGCAGAAGAATCGCTTGAACCCAGGAGGTGGAGGTTGCAGTGAGCCAGGGTTGCACCACTGCCCTCCAGCCTGGTGACAGGGCAAGACTCCATCTCAAAAAATAATAATAATAATTTACATTGTAATGTAAACCATTAGTAAATCTAATGGATGAGAGTGAGCATGTATGCAGGTAGATATACACACACTCTTACATATGTATATATATGTGTAAACACATACTCACACAGTTTATCAAATTGCTAGTTGTTTTAGGATAATAACCCATGTATTTGGATAATAAGTAAACATGATGTCACATAGAGTCAGTATGGATTCAGACATTTTTTACTATTCCTATTTTATGGTATGATGAGAATGGATGTTCCTAGTTGTGTTGGGACACTAATGGCTTTATCAAAAATTGAAGATTGGATAATGTTCTTTATATTTTGTTTACAATTTATTTTCCACCTAGAGTTGTCATATATATCAGATAATTTTAGACTTCCGAAATGAAAGGAGGTACAGAAGTCAACTAATTTAGTTCCTTCATTTTATAAGTGAAGGTGGTAATGTGCAAAGAGTACATTGAAGTCCATAGTTGGACATGAGTCAGTAACAAAACAGTAATAGAACCCATCATCTCCTGATGTATGGTCCAGTGTGCTTTCGAACTTATTATAAAAGTTGAATGTCTGTGGACAGATTACTTGCCTTCTCTTAATTCTGTAATGAGGGATTTGAACAAAATAATCTCAGATTTTCCAGCTCTGATGTTCTTCATGAAGATCTCTGTGTTAAAGCCTTGAGTCCTGCACTCATTAATACAACAAACTCCATGCAGACCTTTTAATGAGTGAGAGAAACATGAAACAGGTAGCAGCTGCAGATTGTTAATATCTAGGAGAGAGACTGCTGCTGTGGGTTTTACAAGAGCAGAAGTTTTGTAATTTTTTCATGAGTTTATTCTAGCCTAGTCCTGAGATAACCAGTTAAGTGTACTTGGTTAATCTATGTTTTAAGGTAGATATCAAGAAAATATAAACATTTAGTTTTCTTTTAAAAATTTTTTTTAAATTGTGAGTCAGCATTTCTTCTCTTGTGATAAGTGAACTTTTGATTGAGCAATTTTTTCTGATTAGTGATGAGACCCAATTAGTGATATGATTTTGAATATTGTGGAACATAAGCTTTGTGCTCAGTTTTTAAGAGATTTATGTAAAAAAAAAAAAAAAGTGCTGTAAAACTCTCTACCATATCCTCTGTGTAATTTTTATTTAAATAACTTATTTTTCTAGTGGCCAATGATAATGCTCCAGAGCATGCTTTGCGACCTGGTTTCTTATCCACTTTTGCCCTTGCAACAGACCAAGGGAGCAAACTTGGACTTTCAAAAAATAAAAGTATCATCTGTTACTATAACACCTACCAGGTAAGTTCATAATTATCAAATGATTTGCTGATTTCGGTTGTCATTTTTGTGCCTTTTGTACATAAAATAGCTTGTGTTATAGTTCTCAATTTTGGTTTTGAAGAGAATGAAATTGTAAAATTTTAGCCTTCAAATTGATTGTGTTAAACTGTAGTGATTTTCTTCACATTTTATATCAGGAAATAATTACTATGGAAAAGTAATTAAGCGATTTAATACGGTACATGTCATCCTAAAAAGAGTATATCAGATCACTGTTACCTCCAGTAGATGGTGCCCTTAGCTAGACAACTGTGTTTTCTCAGACAACACACTTTTTTTTGTTGTAGTAACAGATTATAAAAAACTTTCCTTGAAAATTTATTAAATTTGCTCTCGCTGCTAATTCTTTCATTTGTTTGAAATATATATATATAATAAATGAGGTTACTGTTTGTGGGAAATAAGTTTTTGCGTACCTCTTGATCTCCAGCTGCACTTTCTTAAGACTAAATTAATTCCTTGTGCTTTAGAGCAATGTTTCCTAATCAGTTGATGTTAAGTTACTCTTCCCTCCGCCGCCGCCTCCGCACCGTACTACATGGGCTCTGTCGCCCATGCTGGAGTAGTACAGTGATACCATCTCAGCTCACTGCAACCCCCACCTCCGAGGTTCAAGTGATTCTCATGCCTCAGCCTCCCAGGTAGCTGGGATTACAGGCATGTGCCACCAGGCCTGGCTAATTTTTGTAGTTTTAATAGAGATAGGGTTTCACCACGTCCACCAGGCTGGTCTGGAACTCCTGGCCTCAAGTGATCCACCCACCCCACCCAAAGTGCTGGGATTACAGACATGAGCCACTGCACCAGGCTCATCTTTTACAAAGTTACGTGTTTTAATGTGTATTAGGAAAAAGATAACCAAACCATCTGACCTTTAATTTCATCAATAAGGATTCGGTTGAAACTAAGTTGTTGTTTTTTTTAAGTTAGTTGATTTAAAATTACTTTAAGTTTAATTTAAATTACAGTAATACTCAGGAGCTAGAATACATCATGAAGATAAAACTTGAGTGACTGAGAAATACTGCATTTATCCATTTAATTAACAACTGCTTAAGTCATTACTATGTAATTGACATTCTGCTGGGCTTTAGAGATAAAAAGATGAAGCCATGGTTTCACCTGAAAAATTTTCCAGGTTAAATGGTATTAATGTTTCTAAGAGATTATCACCAGTTCTGTTTTATAGAAATACTCATTGAAATATGAAACTCCTTTATATTTCATAATGTAATACCATGATGTTGGGCTAAAACATTGACCATTTTAAAGTTTTTGAAAGATTAAGACATTTTAATTGAGTTATACTACCTTTTCACAATGAAGCATATTATTCGGCTTTTATTTTCTTTTTAGGTGGTTCAATTTAATCGTTTACCTTTGGTGGTGAGTTTCATAGCCAGCAGCAGTGCCAATACAGGTGTGTATAATTACCTTCAATATTCTTAATTTAAAACATTAATTAATTACCATACCTTAATTTAAGAGGAATCACAGTTTTAGGTCAAAAATCTTGAACTTGTGGCCCAGTTTCACTATCTTTTTTCTGTGTCTTGAGAAAAGTGATTTCTCTGAATCCTGGTTTCCTTGTCTGTATAATGGAGATAATACATGCTTTCTCCATCTTACAGTGTTATTTTCTAGTTCAAATGAGACAGTGCATGGATAAGTGATTTTTTTGTGAGATAGAAATGAAAATTAAATGTTATCTTGAGTGCTACGTCTTGCTCCCATTACAGCAGTTTAAGAAAACAAAGAAGGTGAAGATAACCAACAAAACACATTAAAATGATCAAGGATAAGTTGTAGACCAATCTATTAAATTAGAATTTTTAAATTTTTACCTAATGGGAAAAATGAATGTGATTGAGAATTTAAAGAGCATGAATAGGATGAACATAGTCTCATTCTTCTTGAGAACTGAAGAATTTGAGAACAAATGTTAGGAAGCTGTACTCTTTATAGAGAATAGTAAAATTCCATTGTATTTGTGTGCAAAATAATGACTATTCACTTGGTTGTAATTTTTTTGACTTCATTTTGGATAAAGAAAGATTTTTTTTTTAAAGGTCTGTCTCCTTTAGATAGGATTCCTGTTGAGAATTGTCGTGTGTGTGTGTGTGTGTGTGTGTGTGTGTGTGTGTGGTTGGTTTTTTCCCTCCTAAGCTTAGCAAGTTCTTCTAGCTATGTCACTGAAGCCTGTTCTTAGATACCTCATTTTTAGAATGAGAGGTTTAGATTTGATTTTTTATTTTATCCCTTTCATTTCAAAACATTTTAGGAATCTGTAAATCACTATATGTAAAAACGCTTTCTGAATTATATAGGATAGTAATGGTGTTAATATTTTAAGTATACTTAACCTCAGTTTTGATAAATCACCAGTCATTACGTACAAAGTCACTAGTTCTTATGTATTATGATAATGTTCAGAACAATATTTTAGTATTTGGACCCTTTCCTTGAGAGTCCAGATGCTTTTTATATTCTATAAGACAGAGAAAGATTTTTATTTGTTTGAACATAAAATAGGCTCTATCTGAGGTACATAGGCTTTGACTCTAGTAAACTAAAGAGAAGCTAGATAGGCTGATTTCTAGATGTTTATCTCCCAGGTTCGTCATTGAACTCCAGTGTGTTTTGTACTCTACCATTTATTTTTAAACTGGTTTTTATTTGAAATATTTATTAATGTCTTAGCTTTATTGAATTTATAAAAATACTTTTCTGATTTCCTTTTTTCAATATAGAAGCAGCCTATTTACCTATCTTTTGATATAATCTGTTGAAGTTCGCTCAGAGACAAAAATATGCCTTATTTAATAAAAATTATATATATTCTTTCTGAGTAAATGCAGATTTTTGAAGCAGTAAGGTATGAATTAAGATTTTCCTTTCAAAACTCCAACAAATTGTAGTGGATATAATTTATTCTGTATTTCCTAATATATAAGCATTTTTCATTCATTTACTTTAATAATAGATGCTGAAAATAAACTTGTTAATGAATGTGGAATTTTTGACTACATTATTTAGGGTTATAGTACAGGTTGAACATCCCTAATCCAAAAATCTGGATTCTGAAACATTCTAAAATCTGAAACTTTCTGTGCACCAATATGACATTCAAAGAAAATGCTCACTGGAGCATTTCAGATTTGAGATGTTTGAACTGGGGATGCTGAACTAGTAGCTATTATACAAATATTCCAAAATTCAAAACACTTCTGGTACCAGGCGTTTCGGATAAGGGATATTTAACCCGTATTTTGTTTTAGTCATGGGAAATAAACTATGTTCTGACTTACTTCTGGTAACTATATTTTTTGGGCAAGAGGAAATTTAAGTTTCAGACGTTAAGGAACATTTTTCTAGTATGTAATTTTCTTAATCTCTTTATTTTAGGACTAATTGTCAGCCTAGAAAAAGAACTTGCTCCATTATTTGAAGAATTGAGACAAGTTGTGGAAGTTTCTTAATCTGACAGTGGTTTCAATGTGTACCTTATCTTTATTATAACAACACAATATCAATCCAGCAGTCTTTAGACTACAATAATACTTTTATCCATGGGCTCAAGAAAGGGCCCCTTTTTCCAACTTATATTGAAGAGCTAGCATATAGATGTAATTTATAGACAGATCGATTGCTATATTTTCTGGTGTAGGGTCTTTTCTTATTTAGTGAGATCTGGGGATACCACAGAAATGATTCAGTCTATCACAGCTCCCATGGAGTTAGCCGGGTCACCAAATATGGATGAGATTCTATTCAGTGGATCAGAATCAAACTGGTACATCAATCCATTTCAGCCATTAAGTGCTGCTCCCTATTGTATAATATGCCCAGGCTTGCAGAATGAAGCCAACTTTTTATTGTGAATAATAGTAAGGACATATTTTTCTTCAAATTATGTTTTATTTCTTTGCATTGAGTGTAAGGAACATAAAATGGCTTAGTAAAAGTAATAAAATCAGTACAATCACTAACTTTCCTTTGTATATATTATTTTACAGTATAGATGAATATTACTAATTGGTCTGATTATTCTCAGAGGGTGCTGCTCTTTAATGAAAATGAAAATTATAGCTAATGGTGTTTCCTCAAACTCTGCTTTCTGTAACCAGTGTTTTAATGTTTGTGTGTTCTTATAAAATTTAAATACAGTTTGTTATTGAATTCTGTTTCCAATGTTAGCATGTGTGTAAACATGATAGTACAGCCATTTTTTTCATATGTGAGTATAAATAAAATAGTATTTTTAAAAATACAGTTTGAGCACTATATAGGTCCTTTTTTTGTTCAGACTTTTTCCAAAAGTCTAAACATAATTTACTCTTTCAGCCACATGAATAAATAATGAGTGTTTCTTATAGGTATTGGTTTGGAGATTGTTTTATGGTAGTATAAACTGTCAAGTAGAAAAGAAACCTCAGGTTGCAGTGAGCCGAGATTGCCCCACTGCACTCCAGCCTGGGCAAAAGAGTGAGATTCCATCTCAAAAAAGAAAAGAAACCAAAAAACCTCAGGCATGAGCCTAATTTAATGTCCATGAAAGAGGTTCTGCAGTGCTAGAATATGCTGTTCATGTTCAGGAATGCAGTCTATCTTTCAGAGGTGTTAATTTCTTCATAGGTTCTTTGGCAATCAATTTTTCTCTGGAATAGTTCAGTACGTATGCATTGAGCAGCTGCGTGCCCGTCAGCAGAGCTATCACACTGCACAATTCTAGCTACAAAGCACCGTTCACATCACATCATATTTCTTTGCTCTGGGATTGCCTTTCACATAGTATATTTGTGACTGTTATCCCTAGAATTGTGCAGTGAGGCAATTAGCCAGGCACTGTGCTGCTTTGTTTGTTTGTTTGTTTGTTTGGAGACAGAGTCTTGCTGTGTTGCCCAGGCAGGAGTGCAGTGGTGGCATGATCTTGGCTCATTGCAACATCTGCCTCCTGGATTCAGGTTATTCTCATGCCTCATTCTCCCATGTAGCTGAAGTATCACGCATACACCATCAGGCTTGTCAACTTGTTGTATTTTTAGTAGAGACAGGGTTTCACCATGTTGACCAGACTGGTCTTGAAGTCCTGAACTCAAGTGAATCGCCCGCCTGCTTTGGCCTCCCCAGCTGTGAGCCACCACACCTGGCCATGTGCTGCTTTTTCTTCCTTCCATCCTTCCTCCCTCCTTCCAGTGTAAATATAAGATTAATTTGTGATACTTTCCTTTAAAGAACTTACAGTTCAGTAAAGAAGCAGGTATAGAAAGTGCTGTGATAAAGCTATACATAGGATGGTGTAGAACCACAGACTAGAGGCACATAAAATGGGCAAGAAAATAGCCTTTACAGATAATACAGAGGCAAGAGATATAATGCTTTTCCTCAAAGAGCTATAAATACAGCCGTGTACTACATACAGTAATGATGTTCAGTCAGTGATGGACCACATGCAAGGGTGGACAGAACAGCAGGCTATACCATATAGCCTAGGTGTGTAGTAGTAGGCTGTACCATCTGGCTTTCCTTCAATAGAGTATGATGTTCACATAATGAAATCACCTAAAAACTCATGTCTCAAAATGTATCCACATTGTTAAGCAACACATGACTAGTTAATTTTGAAATATTAGATGTTCCCATTAAAATCCAGAGTTCCCATTATCTGGATTATTATTTAATAATGTTCAGGAAATTTTTGCCAGTACAATGGTGCAGGAAACAATGTCTTAGAAATGAGGTGGCCAGATTTCTATTTGCAGGTAATAATTGTATATCTAAAAATCCTAGAAAAAGAAATGATAATAAATGAAGCTACTTAACCTTTACATGCTGAATGCTGCCACTGTTAAAATTTATGAGAGGGTATAATAGATAAACTATCCCATAGTTATCTGGAAAAATAGGTAAAAATCACTAAGAAAATTTTTGAAAGGGTAATATAAAACTAGATTAACTAGTTTTGAAAGGTAGTACAGAACTAAATGTAGAACTATAGATATCAGTAGTATGTAATCACCCAGGAAGAGACTTCAGTACGTAACATATAAGGGCTTAAAACACTGTTATAAAGATGGCATCATAAGTCAATGGGAAAAGGTTTATCCAGTAATTAGGGCAGGCATTTTCTATGCCCTGCTAATGGAAGTGTAACTTGTTATACTCTTCATGTATAGCAATCAGCAGTCTCTATAAAACTTTTAAATTCACATACATAACATTTTGCCCTGCAATTCCACTTGTAGAAATTTATCTGACCAAACAAAGCACATAGATGTGGAAAAGTATGTTTTTACAAGTATAGTCTTTGCAACTTGGTACTATCAAAGAATTGGAAGCAATCTAAATATCATCATGTGCTGTAGTAGCACATGATGACCGTGTGCTCTGGCTTTTTGAACACTACCAGTTTATACCTCCTGTTCTTGGTATAATTATTAATAGTGCTCCTTTCACTCTCAAAGTCTCACTTTAGGTAATAAAGTATAGAGGATTGGTGAAACATTTCATTTGCCCATTGGAAAAGGAATGAAGTGCTTTAGGTACTGAGATTAAAAGATCTCTAAGGCAAAATAATGTTTATTGAGAAAAGCATGGTGTGAAACTTTATGGCATGCTATAATTTATGTATAAGAAGAAAAAATATGTGTGCATTAATATTTGTTTGTATATGGTAGACTGTCTCTGAAGACATACGTGGAAAAACCTGATCACTTTGTTAGTCTCCAAGGGGTGGAACTAGATACCTGAGAGATAAGGATCCCAGGAGTGAGTCTTTTCATTGTAAACTTCATTGTACTTTTGAGTTTTTAACTGTTCAAAAATAATAAAATTAGAAATAAAATATTTCAGCAAATAATAAAATGGGATATTTGGGGAAGAAAGTTGTCTCTATCAAGGCTCTCCAAAGAAGCAGAACCGGTTGGATATATGTGTATCTATTTCAAGGAAATGGCTTATGTGATTGTGGGGACTGGCAAAGTCTTAAAATCTGTGGGACAGGCCAGAAGATTGGAAAGTTTCAGGTAGGAGCTGAGGCTGCAGTTTGGGAGCAACAGTTTTTCCTCTTGGAAACCTTAATTTTTCTCTTAAAGCCTCTGGTTGATTGGATGAGTCTCACCCACATTGTGGAGGATTCTTTTACTTAAATTTAAGGGATTATAAATGTTAATTACATCTCCAGAATACATCGACAGCAGTACCTGGATTCACATTTTAATAACTAGACAATGTGTCCTAGGCAAGTTGACACATAAAACTAACCTTCGCAGTCCACTCCTACTCAGTCTGGCACCCATATGCTTTCTTATTTTTTTGAGATAGAGTCTTGCTCTGTCACTTAGGCTGGAGTGCTGTGGTGGTTCCCTGCTCCCCCCCCACCCCCAACCCCAATCCTGGCCATTGTTGCTACTGCTAAGTCAGGTTGTGGCTGCTATTGTTTATGAGGTTGCACAACCCTTGCTTAAGACCAAGGGTGCCATCTTTGTTCACAGCTGTGAATGTGACACAACTTGGAACCTCATTGTCTGTGCACTAGAGACTCTGGTGAAAACTCCTTTAGATTTTGCTGAGGAGGGGCTAACAGTTATGAATGTGCTTGAATCACCTCTCCCCTATAATGATGCCCATATTCCATCAACAAAACAGGTGCACCTCAACCATTACTCTGTTCAGGTGAATTCTTTCTCAAGAAGGCTCTTACTTCCTTTACCTGCCAGTCAGCTAGAACTGTGCTACTCAAAAATGTGGTCCACAGACTAGGCTGTTGTGCACACTGTTTGGTAGCAAGATAAGTAAAGAAATGCCAGTTTTAAGTGCTTAAAAACTGGGATTGTGGTATTTGTATTTTTTGCTTGATTTTTCTAAGAATTTATTGAAGTTTACAAAATCCCAGTCTGTGATAGATTATAAATTTACAAAAACGAAAGGAAGAAAATCAGATCCTTTGCCACAGATGGTTTAAGAAACTCTGCTTGACATCATGGCCAGACAGCCTGAATTCATAGCAGACCGTAGGCTCAGCCCGGCACTCTGCTATGTAGTCTACTTGCCTAGGAAGAGTTTGGTAGAAACATTTGCTGCAGTGGATCTAAAGTAATGGAGAGGGAGGGAAGTAGAATTGATCTTCTACATATAGTAGTTCTCTTGCTTTTTGTCTGAAACAGGGACACAGTGTAATGCCCTGGCCTTCATGCCAAGCACTCGTGAGAGGTATGGAGAGAGGAACCCACTCTCTTGTATACCATGTGGTTGGGAAAAGAAGGAACCTACCTCACCAGGTACTCTGATGTCCAGGCATTCTGGCACAGGGGGCAGATTTCCCCTAGAAACAGTACAAAAGTTCCTTGACTTATAATGGGGTTCCATCCCAATAATCTCATTTTAAGTCAAAGATATAAGGAGAAAATGCATTTAATACTCAAACCCATTGTGAAGTTGAACAATCCTAAATCAAACCTTCATAAGTCAGGAACCATCTGTATTAGCCTTCCCTAGAAATGCTCCTGTGGGCCAGGATTTTCCCAGAGGGAATTCTGAAAATAACTGGTAATACTTTTGGCTGTGTCTTAATAAGTTCATACCTGTTAGCAGACAGGGCCTAACGCAGATATCCCACTCTCTTTTCTCCCATATTCCCCCGCTCTGATCTGCCATTGGCACAAAACATCCTCCCTCTGTTTGGACTTGGAGAAATCGCTGAGGAACCCTCACAGGCTCCACTTAGCAGTTAGAATCATTTCTTTGCAGGACTGCCGAGGGCAGGCAAAACACCTAGCCTAGTACTAATTACATAGCAGGTACATGTTAGCTCACCCTTTTCATATCAAAACCCTCCAACAAATTGTTTTATCCCCTATTGAAGCACTTGCTCCATCACATAGCTTTGTGTACTTCTCTTACAGTAATCATCTTATTTACTGCCACATATTGTCTCATATATATGTTTATTGTTTTCTCCATATTCAACTAAGAACTCCTTGAGGGCTTGGGCTATTTCTTTGACTTCCAATCCTTTGTGGCTGATAGTCTAACTGAAGTGAATTCTTCATTGCCATTTATAATATTAATCAGTTGTGTATTTCTTTTACAAATATTAAAAATTTATTTTAATAGCAAAATAGTATAAGCATAGCAAAATCTGTTTTAATAAACAGAACCAAAGAATATAAATAAACAGGTTATGTTTTATACAAGGTAAACATAGTAAAACACAGCATTACCCGCACAAAGAAACATGCTTGTTTCTAAGAAAACAAACATAAAACCACACACATCCATGGGGATTCATTTGTAACTTCCGTTTTTTTGCTTTTTTTTTGAGATGGAGTCTCTGTCACCCAGGCTGGAGTGCAGTGGCGTGAGCTTAGTTCACTGCAACCTCCACCTCCAAGGTTCAAGCAATTCTCCTGCCTAAGCTTCCTGAGTATCTGGGATTACAGGCATCTGCCACCATGCCCAGCTAATTTTGGTATTTTTAGTAGAGACGGGGTTTTACCATGTTGGCCGGGCTGGTCTTGAACTCCTGACCTCAAGTGATCTGCCTGCCTTGGCCTCCCAAAGTGCTGGAATTACAGGTGTGAGTCGCAGCACCCAGCCAGTAACTTCTTACTTTGCAAACGACACAGCACTTTTTCTTTCTTTTTTTATAGACGAGTCTAGCTCTGTCGCCAGGCTGGAGTTTAGTGGAATAATCTCAGCTCACTGCAACCTCTGCCTCCCAAGTTGAAGCAATTATGCTGCCTCCGCCTCCCGAGTAGCTGGGATTACAGGCATGTGCCGCCATGCCCAGCTAAGTTTTGTATTTTTAGTATAGACGGGGTTTCACCTTGTTGGCCAGAATTATCTCGATCTTCTGACCTTGTGATCCACCCACCTTGGCCTCCCAAAGTGTTGGGATTACAGTCATCAGCCACCACACCTAGCTGACACAATGTATTTTAATTCGACATTTGCTTTATCCCATATAACAAACATTTAAAAATACATTTAAAATGTTGTTGAAATATTCAAAACTTTAATGTAATTTCTGAGTCTTAGATGTTTAAATAAGAAACTTCTTTAGAAAGGTATCCCTTTGGACTGCAGTAGCAGTTTATATCACAGCTTTGCACCATGATCTTTTTACTCTCAGGCTCTTCAAGCATTTTTATCCCCTTTCAAACTTCTTTCTAAACAAAGGGGTTAGAGTCTGCCAATGAGCTGTGGACACCAGTATCTCATTCTTCTATTTGTCTCCCTATATAAGTTTGAAAAAGCTTTGTAACATATTATTACATATTATTACGTATTTCATGTAGCTTTAGTGTTACTCCCCCAACTGGAAATGAAAGTTGCTCTTTAATAAGGCCCGGGGTGCTTAGGGAGCAATGCAAGATTCTTCTTACATCTCTTGGGCCAACTCTATACAACTAAATCTGGAAGAGGAATTGTTATAATATATTTTCCTTGTGAAGTTTCTTTCAGTCCATTTGGAGAAATGTTGGATAAAGATAACTTAGTGCTTACAAGTGCTCTATTATTATTGCTATAATAATTATTATTATTAAACTAAAAGTTATCTACTACTTTATCACCCTTCTTTAATTTGTTTTCTCACTCTTTAAAACATTTACCCCAAAAAGGGTGAAAATAATGTTTTTAAAATTGTGACTTCATTTACCTTTATTATACTACCTAATCACCCATAGGACATTTAGCTCTCACAGTTTCATCATTAGAAGCAAAGGACCCACCAAATTTCTGAGCATTTTAAAAAGAGAAAATAAATACCACAAGCATTTTCCATTTTAGTTTTGGAAATGTTTTGTTTTTTGCATAACAGAGGGAGAAAAAAAAAAAAAACCTCTTTCCTGAAAATATTTGATGTTTGCTATCACAATATAAATCCTACAGAAGTCTTCTAAACCCCCAAGTACCTGTTTCCTTCCTGGTTAATAGCACAACCTGGGTCTCAAACAGGCTGACCGTGACTCAGTGGGACTCTAGGCAACTAGTGTCAATTGGCTTGGGACCACAATGAGTGAAAACAAAAAACCTTCCTCGTACATTGTGTGTTCTAAGAGTGAGCAGACCTAAGAGTGGTGGATTAAGCACTTTCTGTCAGAATGGTGTCAGTATTCTCAAGGAGTTGGCAAACATGTTGGAAGGGCAGCAGTTTTCCGTGAGTCAGCAACATGGTGTATGGATCCCAATCAACATCTGCTTCTGATTTCTTTTTAAAGGAAAATCCTTAGTTTTCATTTGAAGCCTGCTGCAGATCACAGCATCAGGGAACATTCGCCTTGCTCCTGGGCCAGAGCATTCCTTGGCAAGAAAGATCTATTTAAAGATGAATGACCGAGATCGGATTGTGCCTTCCCCTTGGTTGAGCTGTTTTCTTATTTGTGACTGTAATAAAGTACACACATATATATCCATTATTGAGTGATTTTAATGAACCCTGGCTTCTAACATATTAAATAAGGCACGTTTATTAGTAAGGCTATCATACAACTGCAAGTTAATTATGTGCCCACCCCCAACTATAAGTTAATTATCAGTGTCCAGAAAAAAATTTCTGTATTTTTTTCAGGGTACATATTGTAAAGCGATTGCTAAAACATGTACAAATTGAGAATTGGTCTAATACTTACTGTAATCTATAAAATGGAATACTAGTCAATAAGTCAAAAGGAAGATATAGATTGACAATTAGTAATATGCAAAAATATTCATAGTGTTAAGTGAAGTGAGCAGATATAGAACACTAGCAAGTGACTTTTTTGTTTTTATTTTGTGTATTATCAATAAAGATCCTAAGAACATTATTGTAACTTTTTTTGGTGGACATATGCACTCATTTCTCTTAAGCATACACCTAAGTGTGAAAATGCTGAATTACAATGTAGGCATATGTATAATTTTAGGAGAAACTGCCAAGCAGTTGTCAAAGTAGCTGTACACATTTTCCTTCCCTCCAGCAACGTGGAAGAGTTCTAGTTCCTTCGCATTCATGCTCATACCTGATATTGGCAGTTGTCATTTTATCCATTCTGAAAGGTGTGTAGTGGTACATCATTTTGGTTTTTACTTCTAGCAAATGAATTAATTTTTCTTTTAAATATTTGTTTGTACAGAGATAAGTCTAAAGGTGTGTGTGCTCGATAAATTTTTATATAATTTTGTATCATGATTTTGTGTTACTTTGAAAATTAAAAATAGAAAGAATAAGAAATTAATTCATGTCTGAGCAAAGGTTTCACAAGGCAAATTATTCCTCGCTGAATAATAAATACATTGGAACAGTTAAAAAATGAGTGGCATATTTATTTGAATTTCAAACTGGAAAGATAACTGAAAGCAAAAGTCTCAGTATCTAGAAAAGGATTTTCATATATATATCAGACAATTTTACAAAAAATAATTAAGGAAAATGTTTTACGTTTGAAGTAATCTGGCCAGGCACAGTGGCTCAAACCTGTAATCCCAGCACTTTGGGAGGCTGAGGCCCGCACTTGAGGTCAGGAGTTTGAGACCATCCTGGCCAAAATGGTGAAACTCCATCTCTACTAAAAATACAAAAATTAGCTGGGTGTGGTGGCAGGCTCCTGTAATCCCCGCTACTAAGGAGACTGAGGCACAAAAATTGCTTGAACCCAAGAGGCAAAAGTTGCACTGAGCCAAGTTCATACCACTGCACTTCAGCCTGGGCAACAGAGCAAGACTCGGTCTCAAAAAAAAAAAAAAAAAAAAAAAGGCAAAAAAATCATCAAAAATTTCAAGATGGTATTTATAGGAAAGTTTAGCTTTAAGGAAAAGTTCTTGGCTAGCAACTCACTAACTTGCAAGCATATGAAAAACATGTAGAAGACTGGTGAAGTTTTGTAAGTATTCAGTCCCTGGGAGATTAAAGAGAGTAGATAAAATAAACCAGCTTTTGTTCTTGACCTGCACAAAGTGATGCTTACACTCAAAACTAAGCTAAATTCCTCTGGCAAGCTTTCTTCTCTAACAATTTAAAAAGCTTTTCAACTAGAGAAATACGTCAGCTTTCCTCTGTCAGACCTTCTGGTCCTAAATGTGGCCCTCCAGACAAAACTAAACTAACTGACACATCTTAAAGGAAATCTGATAGGTGGATATTAGGCTAAGGCTCTACGGCTAAGACCCAAATACAGCTTATTTTTTTCCTTTTTACAAAAGAAAGAATGTCTCCATCTCTTCTCATGTCCCAGAAGAATTAACAGACTGTTCCACAAGCCTGAGAGTAGACATCCAGTCATCTCTTTGATTCCAGGAGCTAGTCTGATTCTTTCGTTAGAAATATGTTTGACATCATCAATGTGTTATTTCTCAAGATTAGACATCTGAAGCCTTAAAAAACTCACCAATTTCCAGCGTAATATCTTGATCCACTCATCAGCTTCTACTCCGGTCTTTGCACAGAGATAAAATGTCCTGAATGGAAATACCAAGCTAATAGGACAAAAGAAAGAACGTAAGACATTGCAGATGATCAGCTGTATATATATTAGTAGAACACTCATTACAGTATTACAAGGGAAAAAAGAATTAGTAAAGGATCCAGGTAAGTAACTTAAAGAGCTGGTATATATGGACCTATTCCTGCCAGCAAACTGCAGAAATGTTAAGGAAGTTGTAGATTCATATTATTACTCCAGGTCAGATTTACATATTTGAATAAGACTTTGAAGAAGAAAGAAACATCTTCAGGACACCCCCAGATCTTTTTGTGGTTCATGTCTTAGGCTAACTCTAATACGTGCTTATTCAACTGATCTCTCAAAGGGATTAGAACCTGTGCTGTGATTCAAAGCATAAGCAAGATAGAAAAGTTTGCTAAAAAGAACTCATTTGTATTAACTTGCTTCAATGAGGAAAACTGCCTTCTGTAGTTGTAGGTAATTTCAATTACTGGGACAGTAAAAAGAGACAATAAAACTCAATTAGTTATTTCTTCCATCTCTGGCCACGAGTCAGTATCTGCTGCAGAAAATATGAACTTTTCTACTGGCACAAAATACTTTTCCTGGATATATAGTGATTTTACATTTGACTGTCTCTGATTACCTAGTTAAAATTATGTGAGTGATAACATCAGCCCTAAATTAGATATTGAACATACTTCCTGTACTTAGAGTTGAGAGGCAAAATACCAAAAATTTTTTTGTAGAAAAAAAGCCTTCAGAAGGGTTTCTATATCTTAAAGCCTAAGCAGTATATTTTGTTAATATCAGCAATTAATGTTGAATAAGTAAGAGCTAAGTCCCTGTGCAAAGAACGGAATAGCTTGATGTGAGGTCTAGTGGAGGGGTGAGTGGACAATGGTGGGGAGGGAGTGATATGGTGCATTTACTCGAAAACTGGTTTCTGTAATTGTCAGTGTTTGGCATTTCCTATGTGAGACATTATTAGTTGCCTATTAATAGAGATAATTTTTCATTTCTCTTGCTAACTGGACCCCAAGCAATAAATCCTAATTGGTTTAAGCCAATTATGATCAGCTGCTGGGGATGGCCATGGCACCCAGTCTTGGCCAATGACATATAAGGGACAATCTCATAGGGAAGTTTCTGGAGAAACATTGGTTTTCCTGAAAAAAGGACAGACACGGCTGATCCCATCCCTTCATCTTTCTTTGTACTTTGTTGAAAACATGAGACCTACAGGTGTAGTAGCCACTTGGATTCTGAAGTAGCCAGCATGAGAAAAGTTCAAGAGAACTGTAGAGACCTTGGAGCTGACCTTGTCGCCACAGCTGCTTGCCTCCTCATTTTTGGATATATGAGAAAAATAAAGCTCTTCTAGCTCATAGGGCATGTCTATGCAAATTTTAAAAAGACGTCCATTTTCAGCTGATATTATAGAATTAACATTAATTTCCTCAGGTGTAATAATGATATTGTGATCCAATATGTGACATTTTATTCTTAGGAGACACAAACTCAAGTCTTTAGGGGTAAAGTGCCATGGTGTCTGCAATTTACTTTCGATTGGTTCAGAAAAAAACAAGTGGACAGGCTGGGATAAAGCAAATATGGCAAGATATATTAATAACTGCTGATGGAGGGCATATAGACGTCTTTCAACTTATGTATGCTTGAAAAACTTTAAAATAAAAGGTAGTGGAAAATAAGACATCCCTTTCTCAAGGCACTTCTCCCAGTTAGAACATTTTTATAATGATTATGTTAGAACAAAACATTTTTGTACCAACTGCCAGAAATTGTCATAAAAATATAAATCACCCATCATCAAAGTTAAATTAAAATTGCGGGGTGGGGGAAGCCTCAAAGAAATTAAATGTCTAAGATGTGAATGGCATCCCCTATGTGTGTCATATTTCTGTAGTACACACCATAAGCTGAGCTGACCTGTGTTTGTTTAACCAACTTTAAATGAGGTGTTAACGTCACACTCAGCTGAAAGTACTCCTAACATTTAGGCACACCCCTCAGATCTGAACTGTATAGACATTAAGATATACAGCTTTCTATTCCTTAGTCAAAATAAGTGTCTGGCAAGAAGACATTAGAAAACATTTTCTTTATAAAACAACTTACCAAAAACAGTTTACCCTTTCTTGTGAATAATCAAATTGTACAGCTGAACATTCTGTTAGGTCCAGGATCCGAATTGGTTCTGGTGACTAAAAAAAAATAAAAAGTAACATATGTCATCATTAAAAAATAAAAAACAGACAAATCTGTTCCTCACTTGTCCCCTCACAAGTCTTGTCCCCTCACAAGTCTTCCACTTGTGCAATTGTCAAATTTTCTTTCACTAAGAGAACTGACAATCAACAAGCCTTACCCAGGGAAGTCTTTGGTTTTGGAATTAGCCTTTCATAAAACTGGCATTAAGATACTACCTTTATCAATTTACTGATGAAGATGGATTTTAACACATGGAAGAGAAGCAGATTTTTCTCCCATTTTTAAAAACTTCTACTTTCATAGAAATTTTATGTAAGGAAAGAGAGAAAAAGTACTTTTAGATTGGCTTAATGAAATGAGCATGGGAAATGGACAAACCGTATGTTTAATAAAGGGAGAAATTGCTGCAGAGAGACAGTTAATTGTGGCAAGAGAGCAATTACATTGCCCTAAACAAAGGGAATTATGTGCCCTGGGAAACTGTAGTTTAGCCAATTCAAGAGAGCAATTTCTGGGATATATATCTCATATTTGCAAAATAACCCTACTCATTTCAGGAATCAATAATTCATATCTCCAAACATTTGTTAGGTGTATCAGGTGGCTATGAAAATAATTTCAGAGATTTTAAAGTTGTAAGTTTATTTCATCTAGAGAATTGATTTTTAAAGGAAAACTATATTATTATGTTTCTCACCATCTGATCTTTGAAGTATTTCAGTTCATTCCTGTGCAGAGTAAACCATCTTGTTTTCCATGTCTGAGAAAAACACACACACATACACAAACACACACACACAATGTTTTGAATGCAGGAATGCAATATTTGAACCAGATGATTTACTTTCATTTTTAAAAGTATCTAAAAAATTAAATACTATAACCCTGAAAAAATTCTTGTGTGTCATTTCTGAGAAAAAAATTTCAAACTATCTATAAAACTTAAAATAATTTCATGAATTAAGCTCATAATGAAGGCAGATATATCATTAGTATATTTTTAAATACAAAAATAGTCTATCATAAATATTCAAGGTGATTTATAACAAACCACTGTCATTTCCATTTTATTAACTCTATAATAAAGATAAATATTGTTCTCTGAGTACCTAATATGGACTACATACTATCGTTGGAGGCTTTATATATTATATCCAGTCTTAAACAACAATGCCAGTATTATTATTCTTACAAATATTCAAACTGAGGTTTAGGAACCCTGAACCATGTGATATTCTAAACCTTGCTTAAGAAGGCTAAGATATTGGTGGTAAAATCCATCATTGCCCACTGTTATCTGTATCTTATATACAAACAGCATCCTACTATATCATGGGTGGCAATGTGCCAGTTAAAAGAAGTAACAGAGGATTTAAACATAAGTATGCTATGAATATGAATATTCTCTGTCCTCAGGGAGCATTCAGTGTAGAAGGCACAACAAATAACTGTATTTAGGTTAATTCCAAGCACACCCGTACCTGTGAGAGAGGTTAAATATCGTGACTCTTTTTTTTTTTTTTTGGAGACAGAGTCTCGATCTGTCTCCAGGCTGGAGTGCAATGGCACAATCTCGGCTCACTGCATCCTCCATCTTCCAGGTTCAAGCGATTCCCCTGCCTCAGCCTCCTGAGTAGCTGGGACTACAGGCGTACACCACCACACCTTGCTAATTTTTTGTATTTTAGTAAAGACAGGGTTTCACCATGTTGGCCAGACTGGTCTGGACCTCCTGACCTCATGATCCGCCTGCCTCGGTCTCCCAAAGCTCTGGGATTACAAGCGTGAGCCACCACCCCCAGCTAAATACCGTGGCTCTTAAAATAAGGAGCAGACACATTCCATGAAAGTCTTCTTGGCACATTGAGATGAAACAAAGGAATTCTAAAGGTACAATCTGATAAATAGGGAACATTTGGATACTTGGAACTTGTAAAAACCTAAAATGTGTTTTCCTTTGGATTTTATAACATAGTTTCAGTAGCATCAGTGATGTTTTTGGCCTATCTTTAAGTAAACATTTTATACAATTTTGACTTTTTCCTTGTTTTAGAAAAAGGAAAGACGTTCTGGAGTTAAATTGCTATCGTCATCCTCAATCATTCCATTAAGAGGACTATATGTTTTCTTGAGCTTTAATTGCAGGCTAAACCTATGCAGGGCTTTGTCAAAAAATAGACAAGCCATTTTCCAGAATTTTGACTAATAAGCCATAAAAATGAACCATTGAGTCAGGTAAAATATTATAAGTGGTTAAAATGAGCAGGCAATTTGCTTCCAAGAAAAACTATCAAGATGAGAATTGAGTCTATATGACGTGTTCTTTTTTTCTGTGGGTGGCATGAGCAAAACCATACTTCCTTACCTTGACCAGGCCTCCCTGTTTGGTGAGGTAACCTTCTTTGGTGCCGAGCTGAAAAAGAAAAGCACTGAGTGAAGCCCAGAACTGTCACAACAGGATGTCTGTCCTTCCTTTCTTGTCCTATTTTTAAATGAAGAATTTTTGCCTTTGATCTTTAAATTACCATCTAGCATTTTCCACCTCGGCACTTGAAAACCTTCCATGTCCTGTGAGAGATTGTTTTCAGACTGGACCTACTGGCATCATTCTGTAGCTACTGACTCCAGTTAGCAATTGGCAAACAGTAAACCACATCATTTCGTTTACAAAAGTCTGTGTGTATCAAAGTGTGTCATGTGAAATCCAGCTGCTTGGATTGTCACAGGGTTATTAGCACACAAACATGCACACATCTATGATCAATACGTTCAGGAGATTGAATTAAGAAAACTAAAAGGATGTTTTTATTTCAGGGCTTCCCAGAGGCTGTATTATGCTAATATACTTTGTAAATTTTTTAGAAGGAACGTTACAAACAGCGTTTCCACCATTTGTTTTATCACGTAATCCTCCTTCCCTGCCCCCACACTCTCTTGTGATCCATGTTCCAAGAAACGGACTGTCAGGAGTGTAGATTTCTTTACACCTGATTTATCCAAAATGAATTTGAAATAAGAATGAGCCAATTCTTTTAACTCACGTCGTCATCAATTCAAAGGTAAAACAGTAGCACACACTCAGCTAGCACCCATGAAATATAAGTAACGGTGGGGAACTGTTTGAACAGAAATTTGCATAAGACAAGTAGCCTAATATTAAGAAAGTTATCATTTCATAAATTCCATAAGAAATTCAATTCTTGGCAGAATATTTTGTTCAAATATGATGTCATGATATGTCTTAGTAAGAAAGAAAGTTAACAAAAATTGGGAAGTGACTTGGTTGACACCAAGGTTCTTTCTATGGTAGTTTCCAGAATGTTTTTTTCTGAGGTGAATTTTCCTGACCAAATAAAAAGAGGAACAACCATCTCTACCACATTAAAAAGAGTTAACGCATGAAATATGCAAACACTTCTTTTAAAATCTTATGATATAAAAGGATCAACTACCCAAATGTTCATTTAAATAACATTAATCAATATTAGTGAATTTGGAATCTCATAATGAGTGTGATTTATTTTGACATTGAAGAAACTGAATCAATTGAATTGAGTTTCAGTGTTATGGAATGGCAAAAAGTAATTATTTTGGGTTGTTGCGGGTTAAAATATGTAGAGGCAAAATAACTAGGAGTAAATTGTTATATAAAAGATCCTGATAGAATTATTTACTGAAATCAAGCTAGGGAATAACGCCATCTTACCTCTACTCAAACACTATACTATAAATATAGTATTTTTCTAAGGTTTTGATAGATAAGTGGAAGGCTGCATGGGAAAGTACTGAGACTATTAATTTTATTCGGGGCCTCAAGATTTAAGAAACTAAATGAAGCCGGGCATGGTGGCTCATGCCTGTAATCCTACACTTTGGGAGGCCGAGGCTGGCAGATTGCCTGAGCTCAGAGGCTTGAGACCAGCCTGGACAACATGGTGAAACCCATCTCTACTAGAATTAGCCAGGCATGGCAGCATGTGCCTGTAGTTTCAGCTACTTGGGAAGGGGGCTGAGGCAGGAGAATCTATTGAACCTGGGAGGTAGAAGTTGCAGTGAGCCGAGATTGTGCCACTGCACTCCAGCCTGGGCAACAGAGTGAGACTCTGTCACACACACACACAAAAAAACACCTATGATCTGTAACAGAAAAGATGTTTATAAGAGCCCCCAATATGGTACCATCTAAATGTTCAAACACCGAAAGACTGTCCTTCCTGCCACCCTCCCTACATACTTGCTTGCCAGCCTTAAATGTAGTCAGAAGCCAACAGGTCAGGTGAAGCAAGACAGGCATCAATGATCAATGTGTGTGTGTGAAGGGCTTTCAAGCACCTTAGTACAGGGTGGTGGGGCCCAAGCAGGGTGCAGGGAGCATCTCTGCAGATAATGGTGGTGACAGTGGCGGCAGCAGCTGTGTGAGAGGCATTGAAGCCTGGGAGGGTGTGGAGGGCTTCTGACTGAAGGCGTGGAGGTGGCAGCTACTGCACAGTTTCAGAGCCAAACTGGGCTAGGTGGGCATCTGCAGTGAGGTTAGGAGCAGCAGTGGCCTGGAACTGGATGTTGAAGCATGAGTTGGGTGATTGGCATGTCGGGGTTGGGATTGGGTAGTAGAAACAGCAATTAGAGATTGCTTATATTCAATTGATCATCACATAAGTGTACTGAGGATGATAAGATCCATATTTCCTCACTGTGGGAGAAGGGAAAAAACTAGAATGAACTTTGTGGTATTGAAGGTTATTGTTGTGAACTCATGGATGGATGAATGAATTAATAGATAAATATAGATATAAAAGTATGTATGTGTACATGTGTATATACATAGATATTTTCCCAGCTCTGATCATTGAGTGGATGGAAGAGTGACATCTTAATAATAATAAGCACATAGTAGCTAGATGTCAATTTCTAAAGTACTATTCTGCAGAAAAGGAGCAGGGTTTCCTAGAGAAATAGCTAGTTCTAGAGCTGGGTACAAAGAAGGAACAATATAAGTCTGGATCATCTTGCTATTCAGAAAGTAAGAAAGGTCTTAAAGAATTTTGAGGTCAGGCTAGGCATGGAGGCTCACAACTGTAATCCCAGCACCTTGGGAGGCCAAAGCAGGAGGACTGCTTGAGCCCAGGAGTTCAAGACCAGCCTGGTTAACATGAAACCTAGACTCTACAAATATAATATATATATATATATATATATATATATATATATATATATATATACAAATATCAGCCAGAAGTAGTAGTGCACGCCTGTAGTCCCTGCTACTTCAGAGGCTGAGGAGAAAGAATCGCCTGAACTAGGAGGTTGAGGCCTCATGCACCGTGATCACACCACCGCACTCCAGCCTGGGAGACAGAGTGAGAGAGTGAGACACTATCTACAAAAAATAAAAAAAAAGAATTTTGAGGTCGTATGAACACAGATGCTACTTGAAAGGGCTCTTTCTCTGACTGGCCAAATCGGGGAAAATTTGAAGGATCGAAACAATGATGGTCATAATTATAGCCATGTGATATAACAATGATTGAAAACTTTGAAGAACAAAAAGCTTTTCCTTACAGTAAGATGATAACCAATAAATGTAAAAAGGAATAATAATCACAGAGTCACCATTTGGCAACAATCATAGTAATTAGATTAAAACAGCCAAGAAACATCAGTAAATGCTAAAATTGGTGGGTAAAAATGTAATAAGTAACAGGATATTCTCATAGTCTCAAATAACCTCTCCCCAAATCTTTTTTAATAACAAAAAGAATATGATGACTTTAGAGTGAGGAAACCTGGCAGACACCACTTAAGCAATCAAACACACTATAATCAAACACACTAAATTGCGACTGTGTTCCATCTGAGAGGACGCGGTGAGAAGTGCAAAGCATCACTTTTGTGATATTTGTACCCAACATGAGAAATCTGTATCTAATCATGATTCAGTATCATACAAACCAAAGTTGGGGAACAATTTGCAAAATAACTGGCCTTTTAAGTTTCAGATGTGTCAAAGTCATGAAATTAAGGAAAACCTGAGGAAGCATTCCAAAGTGAAGAAAATTCCAGAGACAGGACAGGTAAGTGCAACTTGTGCTTGAGGACTGGATCCTTTTACTCTGAAGGACCTTGCTGAGAAAACTGGTGAAGCTTGACTGAGATCAGTGGATGGAACGGTGGCACAGCCTCAATGCTAATCTTCTAGTTTGAAAGGCTCCATGCGGTCATGTAGGCAAATGCCCTTATCTTCGGGAAACACATGCTGAAGTATTCAGGGTGATGGGGCATCATGTAGGCAATTTACTCTCAAATGGCTTGGGGAAAACCAAGTTCTGTGTACTATTCTTGCAATTATTCTGTAACTTTGACATTATTTCAAATTTTAAAAAACATGTAAAAACATAATAGTGGATTAACTGAATAAATTGATATACCCAAATAATGGAATATTATGGAATTCGTTTAATGGTGTTTTAGAAAACTAAGTAATGGCGTGGAAAACTTTTAAATATATTGTTAATTAAACAAGACTATTACAACTTTACAATGAAGAGCTCATTATTTCATGTGTGTGTGTGCGTGTGTGTGTTTGTGTGTGTGTGTGTCTGTGTGGTTTTTTTTTTTTTTTTCAAGTAAAAGACTGGAAGGATAAACAACAAAATGTTAAACCTGAGAAGAGCTTCAAGAACAAAATACTGGAAAAGGGCAACGTGCAAGAAAAGTTTCTAAGAAGAGTAACTATAAAACGTGTCAAAGATGACAGAATAAAGAGAGAAAGATGTTGTCAAAGCTAAGGAAACAGACTTTTTAGAAGGAGGGAGTTGTTAAAAATGTCAAACGCCACAAAAAGGAAGTTAAGGAAACTAACATTTTAGATAGGACCTATTTTGTCAGGAACTTGAACTATATTAATCTTAATCTCTACCCAGCCAACTAATTGGTATTTCACATTTCACACGTCCAAAATAGAACTCCTCTTTCTCATCCCCTCACCCGCTCCTCCTGCAGAGTTAGCCTTCTCCGTAAATGACAGGGCTACTCTGCCATGACTCTGTCACTCTTCCTTTCACGTATCACATTCAATCCATCAGTAAGTCTTGGCTCTTCTACCTTCAAAACACATGCTAAAGTTGGCCAGTTCTTACCTTTCCTCCACATTTTAGCTACCAATTCTTATCTCCCCTCCCCATGTTTAGCAACCACCGTTTCTTACCAGAACTGCTGTAGCAGCCTCGTAACTGGTCTCCTTGCCTCTGACTTTTTTCCCACTCTATTTGCCACTTAGCAGTTAGAAGGATCCTTAAAAATTTTTAAAAACTCAACCAAAGTATGTTACTCAAAACACTCCCTAATTTCTCATCAACACTTAGAAATTTTTTACCTTTTGCTGCAAGAATGTTTTTTAAATAAGCTCAAAAGGTAAAGAATTTTCATGCTAGGTATAAAAGGTACAATTGAGATTTTGGACAAGGTAATTCTTTACCACTCTTGAAGAATAGTTAGCGTCCATGACCCTGATCACCATTGGGAAACAATTCTCCATGGGTCTCTTGTGTTCCCATATGTCTTATGAGCAAGACATTAACAGCTCTTTGTCACAGTGATTTTTAAAGGATGCTTGCATAACAGCAGCCTTGGAATCTAGAAATACTATTTCCCTTCAGAGCAAAAGGCAGACATGCCTACTGATCATTAGAAAAGATTTGGGTTCCCTAGGCACCGGGTTCCACTCCTGTAATCCACCCATTGTGGATATCAACTGGCCCTTTCAATGTTGCCCTGTGGGAATTTTGGCTCAGCACAGGGAACTAGCACAAACACTAATATCCTGGCTATTGCTTTTCCTGTGAATTACAAACTACTCTTCATCTGTTACCCAGAAGTCTTGTGTCATCCATTAGTATCCATGAAACTGTAGCAGGCTAACTTGTTAGCTTGCAAGCATGGTAAAGTCAGACTCTTCATGGCTCTTGACATTCACTCATGATAGTAGTGCCCCAAAGCTTTGCACCAACTGAAACACTCATATTTCTAAATGCTCAGCTGGAAGTTGCTGCTTTTTGAGAGCTCCATTGCTTTATGTGATCTGACCCTTCATTACCTCAATAATCTCACCTTCTACAACTTTTCCTCTAGCTCACTTCATCCTGTAATTCCAACATTCTTTCAAGCCTTTGAAGCACCTCGATTTACTTCCCACTCCAGGGCTTTTCTACTGTTTTTTTCTGCCTGCAGCACTCTTTCCACATCTTGACACGAGTTACCCCTTCCCTTCAGTGAAATCTCTTATCTAATGGTGCTTCCTCACAGAGGCCTCCCCTGCTTCTCCCCTCTCCCTTTATCCCACCTTTCCTTTTCATGATGTGTTACTGTCTGGTATTAGATTACGGCATTGATTATTGTCTATGATCTTCACTAGAATGTGAGCTTAGTGAGGGAAAGAGGACCTTTGTCTAAATTACTACCAAACTCCCAGTGCTTAAAGCAGTTCTGAGTGTATTGGAAGCACGTAAAAAAAAAAGTTTGTTTAATAAATGAATGAATTAAATTTAATCCTACTATGGGAACTCAATGCTATGTTGTTTATGAGACATAAACAGCTATTTCAAAATGCAGCCACTAAAGGATGATAAACAGTTTTACACAATCCTCTGCATTTCTGGGCAGTAGGGCATCTTTCACTTTCACTTCAAACAAGAAGTTGTTTTAATTCTCTTCCTCCACTGCTAGATCTTGAGCAAGAAATACATCCCAAAAAGAAAATGCAGAAGTCTGAAAACCTCAGGGCTCTCAGGTTGGAGATGGAGGTAACGCATCATGTAGCCATTTGGGGCAGCAAGCGAAGGCTTAGAACTTGTGTTCAACAAGGGACGAGAGCATTCCGATCGGAACAGAATTCTTTCCCCAGCTATGCTGGTCCAGTCACCAATGATACCCCAGTGAGAAGTAATGAGAAATATTTCAGATCCTTTAGAAAGCCTTTACAGTTTCCTTTTGTCCATAGTGATATACCATCAACTCCATAAGCTTGTTATTATATAGTGTGAGTTAAAGTCATTGTCAACCAATCACTCAGCACTATTTTTAAAACTCCATTTTCAAAGAGATCAATCCACCTGATACCTGGAGTGAGCAAAGAAGGTAAGTAATGAGGTTTCCAGAATGTGCTTTAAAGAGGTTTATTTCTACATAAGGATACTCTTCCCTCTTTATCCTACTTTTTCTTTTCATGATGTATTACTGTCTGGTATTATTTTACTGCATTGATTATTGTCTGTGACAATATCTCTGAGCTATTTATCTTCTGCTCACACCAAATCTTACAAATTAGGTATCATCTGCATTTTGTTACTGATAAAGAACACACTTAGGAGGATTTGGTTTGACGGACCTTGAGTGGAGATTTTAGGGGAAGTGTAGCAGAGGAGAGTATGAAGTTAAACTAGAAGTGCAAATGAAAGAAATGTTGAAGTGACTGGTGATCTATATTAAGGGTAAGGATGGGTAAAGAGGAAATTATGAAGGGACTGGTCAACTGGAAAACAAGAATTGGCTGCACAGTAGATCTGGATTTGTTCTCTCGTCTTTCCTGCCTTTGGACTATTTATTGTCTTGCCCTTCTAAATTTCTCTAGTTCTGAGGTCTGATGCCTTCTCCCCCAACTCCAACAAAGCCAAAATAACTTTCTCAGGCAGTTTTCAGGATTTTTGTTTCTGAGGAGCTGTAGTGCTGCACTGAAAATGTGAGATGTGACATGAGCCAGGGTAGGCCGTAGAGCTGCAAGGGCAAGAGATGATTCATATCCTTAGATGTTTCTGGCTGGTGGGGAGGGCAGAGAGATGTGGAGGTAATTAGCCCCCAGCATGGTAATTTTAGAATAAAGGCAAACAGAGGATGCTCTGAAGCACAGAAGAGGAGCATTGTAAAAGCAGTTAGTGGGTGTGAAGAAAGGCTTCCTGGAAGATACTGATCCCTGATGCCAGCCTTGAGGAATGAGTAGGTAATAATGGTGTTGGCAGCATTTCAGATGTAGGGTGAGGAGAAGGAGCACATTGCTGAGGGAGACAGGTTTCACAGCGTGAGTGTGGGAGTAGCGTGAGATGAGGACAGAGAGGCAAGCAGGGTCCAGGTGGGCCATGAAGACAAAGGGCATCCACAAAGGATGGAAAGCAGAGGTCATGTGATAAGGCTTCTTTTTAAGAAAGCTCTCTCTGGTCAAGGGTACAGAAAAGTACTGCAGAGACAGAAAAGTTACACTTATTTTAATATAGTTTGTAGCTGAATGTCTTCGAGTGATTATTTTTCAAGTATAATGATGAGTATCTAGAATTAGTTCTTGATATTTATTTGGGTATTGTTTTCTTTATCATCTGCCCAAATCCAGGTTTCTTTTACCAGGACTATTCAGCAAACGAGGAAGAGACAACAAATAGAAGAGCCTTGAGAATAACGAAAGGAAACGGGTGATGGAGAGGAATCTTTGCAGAGTCACAGTTCACAGAACAGACGTAAATGGACTCTTGGACGAACAATGAGTGCTCCAGTTGCACTGAAACTGAACAACGGTTCACGTTCCAAAGAAGCACAAGCGTTTTCTGTCTGTAAACTTCAGCCAGTAAAGGAAAAAAAGCCCAAAAAGATAATACTCTGAGTTTTTTACAGTAAAGGTGGAGAACATTTGTCTTCCATAGATAGCTGAAACATGAAAAATACATATTTTCTTAATATAAGAAAATTATAGAAGAACAGTAGTTTAGTCAACTACGTGAATGCAAACTTCTCTTGCCCATTCTACCATGAAGTTGTCTGGTTAACTAAGGACAGAGATTTGTTCCATTTTCTAAATAGTTAAAATCCTATTACTACTGCATTGCTTTTGTTTGTTCATTTTGAGACAGTATCTCACTCTGCAACCCAGATTGGAGTGCAGTGGTGCAATCACAGCTCACTGTAGCCTCAACCTACTGGACTCAAGTGATCCTTCCACCTTAGCCTTCTGGGTAGCTGGGACTACAGGTGCATGCCATCATGCCCAACTGATTTTTTAAGAAGTTTTTTTATAGAGATAGGGGTCTCCCTATGTTGCCCAGGCTGGACTCCAACTCCTGCACTCAAGTGATTCTCTTACCTTGGCCTCCCAAAGTGTCGGGATTACAGGCATGAGCCATCACGTCCGGCTGCATAGTAATTTTTATGATCTACCTTGGACCAGATAAACTGAATCATGGGCTTCAAATCTTACATTCCTTTCCAAGTTTCATGTTCCAAGCTAGAATTTTTATGTGAACAAATGCACCCTTATTAGCTTTTATTGAACTTCATTGATTTTAGACAGTGAGAGAGCTTGTGGTCACATTGAAGGTCACTTACAGAAGGTGCCGTAGGCACAAGGTCATTTTCTGTTCTTCCCGTCTGCATCGCCGTGTGAACTCGGACAGATTCATAAATGGAGGGTTCTTCCACTTTTCTTGGGTAGGGGTGCTTTAGAACAATCAGAGTGCCTGAATGTAGACAAAAAGTATGTAATCGAAATGTGTTCCTAGAAGAAAGGTCAAAATGCTAACTGGATAACTGACTGGATTGGAAAGTCTTTTGTTTTTTCATTTATTCATTTGCTCATTTTCTCAACAGTTATCAAGTATAAATTAGCTGTCAGGCGCTTAAGCTGGACACTGAAATATAATGCATGATAGAGACGTGCCTTGGCCTCCTGGTACTCGGAACTGGTAACAGATATGGTCGTTTAAATGACAGGGTGATGAGACCAAGGGCAGGGTGTGAGCAAAGCATCACCATTATCCCCAGATGCCCTGAAGAACCTTTCCATGAAAGGAGTCAGGACAGCTTTTGTAAAGGTGGTGACATTTGATTTAGATCTTAAGTAGTAACTGGAAGTTTTCCAGGAAGGCTTTGTGGAAGCTATGAGAACCAGACTAAACAAATGCACTGAGGTAGAGGAGCATCTATTCCATTGCCCTTCTTTCCTACCAGTTTCAGAATAAATTTGTAACAAATTCGTAGATTTTTAAAAAGTGAGCATTCTCTCCACTCTCTGACCCTGCCCAATTAACTAAAGTAACCAAACAAAGCCTCCGCATTTCTTAACTGAACATGACCTGACCAAGCTGGTGCTCACAAGTGATTGCCTCCCCTTCCAGCAGGAGGGGGAAGCCTCTAGGCAGAAAAAGGGCTCAGCCCAGTGGGGTAGACAGTGGGGGTTGGGAAATTTTGTTCCAGGGGCTCAGAGCAGTTCTGAGTCTATGTTTATGACATTTCCCTCTTGAAATCCTTCCCTCAGTCAATCAGTCAATCAGAAACTAGAAACTAACTACAAAAAGAGGCAACTTCAGGGGATTTTTTTTTTCTTCCTTGCTATGGTTTCTTGCTTTTAACTTCACGAGAGTCTTTTCTATAGCCGGCCTAGGATTGTGGCAGACATGGAATATATGTAAAGAATTCAGCAATTAATTCAACGAATGTTTGCAGAGCTTTGCACTGTGCCAGGTACTTGTCTAGGTACTGGGAATACAACAGCAAACAAAGGCGCTTACATGCTCTTATGAAGCTTATGTTCTAGGTATGGGGACAGAAAAAAAGTGAAAAAAATATTTTGTGTGTAAGAAGTGTTATGAAAAAAATGAATAGGACATGGTAAAGGGATAGAGAGTCAAAAAGGTGATGTTAGGAGAGGGTGATATTTACAAGGTGATCAGGAAGGGTGTCTTTGAAAAGATTTGAAAGATTCTAGAAAGTATAGAACCTGAATTAGAGTAAGAGAGAGAAAAACAAAAAGAAAAATATTTCCTCTGTGGTTAAAAAGCACCCCACTGTTAATGGTAAATCTACACAAAACATCTGGGCACTGTGGCTCACGACTGCAAACCCAGCACTTTGGGAGGCAGAGGCAGGTGGATCACAAGGTCAGTAGATAGAGACCATCCTGGGCAAAATGGTGAAATAGGATCTCTACTAAAATACAAAAAAAAAAAAAAAAAAAAAAAAAAATTAGCTGGGCATGGTGGTGTGTGCCTATAGTCCCAGCTGCTCGGGAAGCTGAGGCAGGGGAATGGCTTGAACCTGGGAGGTGGAGGTTGCAGTGAGCTGAGATCGGGTCACTGCACTCCAGCCTGGGTGACAGAGTGAGACTCCATCTCAAAAGAAAAAAGAAATCTACGAAAAACAAAACCCTCGTATGATACTTGAGTATATACAATGTCTGACTGTAAAACCGAACTGTGGCTTTTGATACTTGGGCACAGATAATGTGCTGCTGCAAAATGAAAAGGCTGTTGAGAAAAGCCAGAAGGGGGTGTCTGATCTTGACCTCCAAGAAGAATGAAAGCCTCTGGCCCTTCTTTCTGCCTCTCATTGGCGTCGCAGCATCAGGAACACAATGAAAAATGGATTTGGCCATTATCAGAACAGTCCCATTCTTGCACATTGTCTGTGCTATCTTTTGTCAATGTGATCTTCCCATAAGAACAGATCCAGTCATATGGGGAGAAGGGGCCGGCTACAGTTTCACAGTCAGAATGAAAGCAGCAGTACCTAAATCAAGAGCAGCCGCTGTGCAGGCTCAGGGGCTCTGTGAACACAGTGCTCACATTGCAGATGTGTGGTAAATTCAGTGCTGGCTCCTACCCCTAAGAAACACTCCCAGTGATGTGTCTCGCAGTCACTCTGGACCCACGGAAAGAGCATCAGATGCACAGGCAGAAAACAGGGTTCAGTTGTCACTACTGCCATTCATTCCTTATTGACCTTAGACAACAATGGCAAGCTTCTGCTCCTTTTCTCACTAATGAGAATAATTATGCTTCCTTCAGAAGGCACCAGATAAAGAAGTGTTTGTGGAAAGATTATAAAATATTAGATATTATTATTCTTTGACAGAATATTTTGAAATCCTTAAATAAAATTTGAATGATTACATATTTGGGGACATGGACTTTGAGATCTTAAAAAGCACCTAGATGCAAGGTTCTGCTAAGAATAAAAATGGTGGTAGTCTAGTAATTACTGCCTGTGATTACTAGAGATAAATTGGTGCCTCTTAAACACTTAGACCTTACAGAAGAGGAGAGGAGAACTGAAGCCTAGGGCTCAAAGCAACTCCCAAATTAGATACATTTTGAAACCTTGTGCTTTATCTTCAAAGTTGAAGCTAAATTTTCATTCTACGTATTTCACATATTTAATACCTAATATGAAAACAATGCTTTAAATGACACTCTTGAAAGATATACTTAGTTGATATGACCAGGCACACACATCGCATAATAATACCTATGTTAATTTTTTTTTTTTTTTTTTTTTTTTAGGTGGACTCTCGCTCTGTCCCCCAGGCTGGAGTGCAGTGTCACGATCTTGGCTCACTGCAACCTCCGCCTCCTGGGTTCAAGTGATTCTCCTGCCTCTGCCTCCTGAGTAGCTGGGATTACAGGTGTCCGCCACCACACCTGACTAATTTTTGTATTTTTCATAGAGATAGGGTTTCACCACGTTGGCCAGACTGGTCTTGAACTCCCGACCTCAGGTGATCCACCCGCCTTGGCCTCCCAAAGTGCTGGGATTATAGGGGTGATCCACCGTGCCTGGCCTAATTTTTTATTGCTATTGTAGCAAACTGCCACACACATAACAGCTTCAAACAACTCAAATTTGTCATCTTACAGTCTGGAAATCAGAAATCCGAAATGGGTCTCACTAGTCTAAAACTGACAAGGCTGCTTTCCTAGTGGAGGCTCTAGGGAGGATTCATTCCTTGACATTTTCCAGCTTTGAGAGATGCCCTCATTTCTTGACTTGTGACCATCTTCCTCTGTCTTCAAAGCCAGTAACAGCCAGTCAGATCCTTCTCCTGCTGCCATCTTTCTGCTTCTCCCTCTCTCGCTCCCTTCTACTTATGAGGACCTTGGCAATTACAGTGGTCTCATTTAGACAGTCTAGGATAATCTTCTGACCCCAGAGTTATCGGATCAGCGCCTTAATTCCATCTGTAAACTTAAGACCCTCTTGCCATGTAACATGATATATTCACAGATCCAGGAAGAGATGTGGACGTCTCTGTGGGGGCTTTATCCTGCTACCACAGTGTCAGTCCCTGGAGCAGAAATGGCCATAGGGGCCAGTGTGCTGCAGGGTAAGGATCTCAGGGCTGGACTGCTGCCTGAGCCTGCAGTGCTGTCACGTTTTGGTATTAGAGAGCCACTGCCTCTCCAGCATGTGCATTTCCAGCCTCCGTGAGCCTCTTCCGTGCACATATGGATCAAATTTATCTTTGCATCCCTACAACCTGATACAGTTTCTGACATAATGAAGGCAGATGAGTGAATGAATGAATGAATGAATGCTACAGTAATTCAGGCTTGAGCCAGGGAAGAGCCTGAGATGAAACAGCCTCCAGGTCCACAACTCTCCAGGCCTGGGGCGAGAAGGGACAACAACCGCAGGCAGACGTGGCTCTTTAAGTCTCTACTGGGGGAACCCAAATTCTATTTTGAAAACCTCCTCTGAAGTTTAATCCAACAAAAGTGAAACGAAGGAAAACGGTATTAGTCAACCAGGAGAGTAGCACTGACTGTAGATTGATTTTAACTAGTAACACCACAAATGAGGCTAAATTGTGAGATGAAGAAGATGACAAAGTACTTATAAAATGGTAACTTATATTGATAAATATCTGGCGTCCTAAAAGACAGTTCTCCTTAGCTGACTACTCTTGCCCAAGGAAGAGCCAATATATAAATTTCTTGGCATGGCTGTGAGGCTTAATGATTTCCCCTTCTGCAGAGATTGTACCTCTCAGTATACAGAGATAGACTCTCCATAGCCATGGGACCTGGCCCACCAGACCTGGCCCCGCCTTTGAACATGGGACCTGGGTCACACTAATTGGATTCACTTCTTGGGGATCCACTTAATTACTTCTCTAAAGAGAAGATCCACCAACTTCGGTTTCAGAACTGCATGAAGTAGACTATTGTTTCTTGCTTTGACATGAAATCTGGTTTCAGAAAGGCTGGGTGGAGGTATACGTCTTAGATGATCAGAGCTGAACCAAGACAGGCACATCAATTGACTGAAAGCCTCAGAGTTGCCATGATTACTAAGCAGGTTCCTTGTTGTCTCTTGGTTGTTCAATTGCCCTTAAATTCTGGGAGAGTATATTGTTAATATCCTTTTTTAAAAATCTGCTCTTTTTCTTGTATTCTACTCCCTTAAAAAAAACAAAACAAACAAACAAAAAAAAAAAAAGAAAAAGAAAAAAAACCCTCGCTAGCCAGAGTTGGTTTCTGTCATTTGACATGAAAAGAAACTTATCTACTGTGGCTACCACAGACTCTTAATACTTTGCACCCAAAGTCTAAGATAGTGTCTCAGCTCCGGGTGAAAGGAACTCTGGGTTACTGAGATTCAGGCCAAATGAACTCCAGGTCTCAGTTGGGAGAAAAAGGTAACAGGAGGCAGGAGTAGCAGAGCAAGAAGAGGGAGGAAGACC